TTAAACCCTCTTCCTTTTAATAAAGTCTGCAGAAATACACACATACAAGCCTGAAACTACCCATAATAAAAAATTAGATTATTAAAATCTCATAAATAAGCAAACACAAAAACAGCCACTTGGATTGAGGAGAGAGTGGGATGGAGGGGGTAAGGAGGCTGCTCACTCCACCTCTAGGCCCCATGCGGAAAAGCGGCTGGAGTCTAGGGAGAGTCGCTTATTCTGACTAGGCTTTCCCCCAGCTCCACACTTTGCTAACCATTTCCTGGGAAGAGCTTAGAAACTTTCTGTGCTCTAGTGAGGCAGGGCCTCTCCTCACAGGGTATTGGTGAGGAGGTATTGTGAGACTCTGTGAGAAGCTAGCACAGTGCGTGACAAGTACATGTGGGACCTGTCATGTGGCCTTGGAGTGTTCAGATGGTCTGGCCTGGCCTGGGGCTTGGTGGGGCTGTTTGAGGGTCAGCTGCCTTAGGCTCCCACTTTCTCCTCAATCAAAATGGCTGCTTTCCTGCCTGTTTGTTTATTTATGGTTTTTAAAAACCTGATATGCAGGTCGGGTGCTGTGGCTTAGGCCTGTAATCCCAGCACTTTGGGAGGCCGCAGTGGATGGATCACGAGGTCAGGAGTTCAAGACCAGCCTAGCCAACATAGTGAAACGCTGTCCCTACTAAAAATACAAAAAATTAGACAGGCATGGTGGCACGCACCTGTAGTCCCAGCTACACAAGAGGCTGAGGCAGGAGACTTGCTTGAATCTGGGAGGCGGAGGTTGTGGTGAGCGGAAATCGTGCTGCTGCACTCCAGCCTAGGCAACAGAGCGAGACTTGTCTCAAAAAAACCAAACCAAAACAAAAAAACTTAATATATTTAGAAAATGCAGCCGGAGGTGCCGAGGCTCAGTGTCGAGAGCTGTGCTGCTTGGGCTTGCTTGCTGGCCTGTGGCCAGGTGAACTCTGGGTGTGAGGTGCTTCCCACCTCACAATCTACAATCCCCACCACTCTCCCAGGCCTTGGGTAAAAAGCGGGTAAGTGACGGGCATCAAGCCCATCCTGGAAGATTTGAATGCCCTCTGGGCTGGGGCTGTCGGGGGTAGGGACTATGAC